AGGTACCACCATGCCATAAATGCATGTAAAGGTACAGGTACAGGTGTGCCAGGTGCTGTGGGGTGCCAGCTGTGTGATCCTCCCTGAGCTGGCAGATCACAGGTGAAAAGAATTGTGGAGGTCTCATCCAGATGCCTTCTGCTGATGATAAATTTCTTTTTCTGGTCATGTAAGTGGAGAATAGCCAGCGGTGGCTGTCAGCCCTTCCTCAGGAGACCTCTGATGCCCAGGTGCCACAGCTGGGGCCAGAGGCATGTTGGCAGAGTGGCATCATGCCCCAGGGCTGAAGAAGGGAAGGATGTACCCTGCCAGCCCTGAGATGCACGGGTGGGCGCCAGAGCGGGACTCTGCACTGTAACAATGGGACAGGGGGCCCATGGGAGGGAGCTGATGTCCATCACAAGAGCCACCAGGATCAGGAGGTGGCATGGATCTGATTGTCGGCACCATTACGGGGAACTCTGGGCCAGCTCTGAAAAGCATCGTCAGATCTGTGTGAGGAGCTGTGCTTAAGAGCCACAACACTGAATCATTTCCCAGAAATCCCCTGTCAGTCTAACCATAAACACTGGGGAGAGTGGAAGGTGGGGAGACATGTGTTTCTTCAATTTCCTACAACAAAGCAAGCGTAAAGGGGATTAGGAAGGCAATGCTGGGGGAAAAGAGGGAGAGATTTAGAAGGGAAGGGAACATTAAGATTGAGAGGGATATAATGCAGATTGAAGTTGTTGGGCTAGAACATAAGAACTTCTCAGTCTATATATTTAGCTCAGTGAGGTATATAAACAGAAACCTACAGCCAGCTCAGCCACTTCTCCCCCAGTAGAGTGAGTCATCAGCCCTTGGATCTAAAGTTAGGTTCACGTCAGAGCTTTCTCTCTCTCTCTCTCTTTATTTTTCTCTTTCTATTTTGAAGGGTGTGGGAAAAGCTGAGCACCGTCTCCTGGAAGCAGCAAACATAAACCCACAATGGCAACAGATGCCAGACCCGATGCCCTACCTGGGAGCACTGTGGAAAACCCTGCTTTGTGTCTGGCCGCTCCTCCTCCTTGCCGAGTGCCTGGGAATGAGCTGGGCTGACATGTGGCCGTGGCTAATGTGGCCACACAGTGGACCCAGCTCTGAGGGGTCTGTGTGCCGTGCAGATGAGCTGGAGGGTGGGCTGGGCTGCACAGCAACAGGATTCACAGCGACGGTCGGTGTTTGGCTCCAGTGTGCTGCACAGCATCTGCCATCAGGGCTGGCAAGAGGGAGCAGGGCTGGGTCAGCCTGGCAGGAGGCAGGATGGTGCCCGTGAGACTCGGCTAGAGGATGCCCTTAAATCCCGTGTAGGCTGCTGCCTGGTGGGCTCAGCCCACAGCCACCTGCAAACCTGCAGAGGAGAGGGCTGTGTCTCCCAGAGCTACCCCTGCAGCCCCTCGGCTGTGATACCGCTCCCCCTTTCCTGCTTGTTCCCTCTTGACTTGTCCCCTCTCTGAAGCAGTTGCAGTGAATATACTTTCCCCATTCTCTTCACACACTGTCCCCACTAACCTCCCCCCTCTGCCAGTGCTGCTGGCTCAGGTGGTGATAGGGGCAATGTGGACTTTCCTGTTCCTCTCAAAAATCGCAGAGGGGACAGGGAGGGACCCTTGGAAATGCTCTGGGTGCATCTGAAGGACCAGCTTGTGCCATGCTCACCTCTGGTGTGACCCACCCCAACGTTGCTCCCAAGAGACCCCATGGGGGCAGGCAACAAAACTATTTGAAAGTGCCTTGGGGGTTGATGATGGAGCCTTGTCACTACTGCGACCTGCAAGACGAGGAGCCATTCACCTTCAGACCCTTCCCTTGGGGCTGGTGGAGACGAGGGTCTGCTCAGGGAGGGCAGCAGCTTCCCAGCCCAAGGCTTAGTGATAACACTGGGATTGCCCCTGCGGGGGATGCCCATGGTGTACGTACCAGGAAGCCCATGGAAATCTTTCCCATTGTGTGTGGTCTTTTGGAGGGAGGACACAAGGACACAAATGCTCTGGAGCATGAGCTGCCCTGGGCTTACTCATTTCACCTGCTCCAAGTCTGTGAAGGGATGAACAGCCTGGCTCCACTTCTCCACCCAGCCCCTTTCCCTATCCCCTCTTTCTAAGCCTGTTGCGTGTTTTTATCAATTTGGAGGGTTTGTCTGAGTGAAAGTTCAAATGTCTCTTTATCCCCATGCTGTGGGTAGGCTGGAAGGCAAACAGACATTATCCTGGGATGTGGACATCACTGATGACCCACGGATTATCCTGGGTGTGTATTTATGTGCATCTGTCCTCCTGTGCCCCTCTGTGTGTACCCTTCTTCTTCCCTAACATTTCATTTCTTTTGCCTCTCCTTGCTGCCCTGTTTCTCTCTCCTGTGTCACCCTCTCTCTCCTGCCCTCCTCCTCATTCTCTTTTTCTCATTTGATATTCATGCATGAATAAATTCAATTGCATTTTTTCCCTGTTCCCCCTGAAGGGGCTTGTTGGTGAATTGCAGGCATCTGAAATCATATAATACTCAGATTCATCATTTCGGGGACAGAATTGAAGCCCTTCTTCTCATGAAGGAACAGAGGATGCTTTTTGTGAGGGGAGGGAGCTGCAAATGTCCAGGGTGGACAGCTTGGCTAGAAGGCCAGCCAGCCCCTCTGGTGTATGTAGGAACGGGGAAGGCATACATAGGTGTGTGTAGGTGAGTGCCTATAGTTGCTTGCATATTTGCTACGTGTGGTGCTTGTGGTGTCACTAGGAGAGAGTAACATCTTGTAGGGGGCTGCCAAGATTTGGTTGATGCAGGAGCTGTCTCAGCAGTTGCCATCAGCCTGGCACCCCAGAATTCAGAGCAATGGTCTGGAGATCTGCCCAGGCATCCTCATCAGCTGACTTTTGGGATGATGACGTGGCTCTGGTATCACCCCAAACTCTGCTGTGGGTCTGGGGACATGCCCAGAGCCATATCCCCATTGCACTAAGAAGTTGTGTGTCACAAAATCATGTCCAACCTGCACTTCAGGGGTCTTCCTGCTGCGGATGGGCACTTACTGTCTCCCTGCACCTACACGGGAGCCCTCCAGCTCATGCAGGATGGGGGGACTCAGGGTCACCACAACCTTCTTTGGTACCAAAGGTGGCTGGAGGTATTGTCCTGCACGGCTTCAGTGCAAACTGGCTCTGACCACTGACAGGGAGAGGTCCGGCCAGCACAAATATTTATCCTGGAATAAAATCTCTTTCCAGCTTGTGGAAGATGCATGAGTTTACCATGCAAACACAGTCCTGGTCAGAAGCTATGAAAAAAGAAAGGCTGGACTTGCTGAGGAAGGGCTGTTTTTCATGAGAGCTGTTAATCAGGTAACTTCTAATGCTCACAACATTCCTGTCATTTATAACTCTGCTCCGTTTTCTATTTTTTCAAAGCACTCCTGTTGCACCCTGAGGATCCTCTGAGGGCTGAGTTTGTCTTTCAGGAGAGGAAACAAGATTAGACACTCTATAAAACACAACAGTGTTACGTTAAAAGCGGACAGTGTCCATCATCTTTGCTCTGAAGACTTTTAAGGGCCTCAGGAGAGACCGCGGCGATGCCAACCACCCCACTCAGAACCCAGGGAGCTTGGCATATGTGATGGAAATGGCTGGGGGCTCCGTGGCTTCTAGAGCCAAGTGCAGCCAAGTCGAGCCAAGTGCAGCCAAGTCAAGCCAAACCACATGGAGATGGACAGCAGAGGAAGGGGTGTGTAACTGGTGTTTTTCACTCCAGATGGTGAATGCACGTGAGCTACCTTGAGGTCAAACCAGAGATGCTCTGGCTTTACTGGAAGGTGGGCTTGCTCCATTGCCTTCCAGCAGAGAGTTAATGACTAAGGGCCTGTTTCACAGTGTGATTAAAGTGCTTGGTTTCCCAGCCATTTTTAGGTCAGATGTGTTAATTACCCTGACCCAGCTATTCTAGCTGTGAACACAAAGTCTGCCACAGACAGTGCAGATGTTGTCTTGGTGGAGAAGGGCTGGAGAAGGCTTTGTGTAAAACCCTTGTGTAGGAGCTTCTGGGCTGCAGCGCATGTTGTACCACACCCCAACTGGGAGCTGAGTGTTTTTTAGTTGCTTATTTACAATATATGCCCATGGCAAATGCACGAGTATCTCTGTCTCTCCTAACATCTAGGGTTTTATTGGTTTGAACAGGCAAAACCCATGAAGAACCTTGAGGATTATGATGGCTTCACACAGTGTCTCTTTCCCAGAGCCGGCTTGGGGATCCTCAGCAGGAAAATTGAAGGCTGATGCTCCAAGGATTAGAGGCCTGTGCTGGTGTGCTTGGCCATGCCAAGGCTGCTTGGCCATGGGATAAGACCACTCGGGGAGATGGCTGGGCTGGTCCTTCATCACAGGGAGCTTAGGGTGGCCGTACTCTAGCCCCAGGATAACATACTCTGTGTGTTCTCCATCCAGCTCTTTTCACCCTGGCTTTGCAAAACGCAGTAGGAAACTAATTTGCAGTGAGTTGTTCCCCCACCCTGAGTTCCCGTAACAGATTTGGGAGTAGGATGGGGGGAGAGGAGGGACTGGTTTTGAGGGAGGGGCTTTTTGGGGTGTCTGTTAGGTTGGTTTTTTCTCTTACCAAGGGGTAGTTCTCTAACCTGCTTGGTCTGTGACCTGTGGAAGGACACACGCTCACAAGTTTGGGCAAGGCAGGCATGCTGAAGGCAGTGTCTGTCAGAAAAGGGAGGGGAAAATTGGCTGTCCTGAGACCCCACCGTGGGTGTGAGTGTGCAATGGTATATACCGTGAGGAAATTTCTTCTTTTTCTCTGGTGTTGCTAAAATTCCTGCCTTATGCGCCTCTAATTGTAGGTTTCCCCTAAAGACATTTGGTGTCACTGTAAGGACGGCATTTCTCTCTCTGCCTGTACAGTTATTCTCTCTCTCTCTCGCTGTGCCGTTCGCTCCATAAGCCGTTGGTGAACATACCATAAGACACAGGGAGAGAGAGAGAGACAGACAGAAACCACACACCAGCCCTTTCTCCTCGCTTTCCCCTCATGGAATAGCTAAACTTGCCCTCATCCACACCTCCATCACCTCCCAGCACCCCACAATTATTTTGACCCTCTGGTCTTTTTTGGAAGGAAGCTTCTGTCACTTCATAACACCACCTGCCTGGAAAAACACACACACACACACACAAACAAAGCCCCCCAAACCCTCCTGCGAAGGAAGAGGTCCTTCTTTTTTTGGCCTCTTTTCTTTTGCTCTGACTCCAGAGCTTCAGACTCCAGCCTGAGCAGCCACAATTTCTTACCATGTATTCTCCTTTTAAACCATCTCCTTCCTGCACACGCTCAGTCCTTGCAGCCACGGATCTAACACAACTCCCCGCTTCTCGCCTGCAGGTTCTTTGCTCCCCGTCACTCAGCTGATCCTGATCTTTTTTCTCCTATTTTTCCCCCCACCCCGGGCGCTGAGGTGTGTGTGTCTGTGTGTGAGTGTGCCTGTGTGCAAGGGAGGGAGGTGGGGGGGGGGCTTTTTTTTTTTTTTTCTCTTGGTGGGGGAATTTTTTCAAAGCATCTTCATTATTATTTTATTTTGCTTCTCTGACTTGGACACTTCTCCCTTGGAGATTTCTTTTCCATGCAAAGGTAGGTGAGACGCATGCACACCTGGCTAACCTTATGTCTGTCTCGTTTCACTTGGTTTTGCTGTCCTTTTAATAGAAAACTTGCGCCCACCCGTGCACCTGCATCATTCCTGTTTTGTTTCGTACCTGTTTCCTCTCCAGCAGAAGTAAATGCTGAGGGTAGACATGTCTGTAATGTTAACAATTCTGTCTTTCTGAAAGGAAAGTTATTTCTCCGTGCATGTCCAGCTGTATGTGTATGTCCATGTGCGGTGCCCATGTATGTCAGACTGCCTCTGTTTACCCAACAAGTAGCAATAATTGATTTTGGTCTGTTTTGGGCAGGGGTGGTTGGTGGAAAGGGAACGGCTGTGTGTCCAGCAGTTCATGTCCATGAGCGACTGCAGCAGGGAATGTGTTTCTCACACATATTCAGCAGCTCTTTATACATGGCTATAAATGCTACAAAGAGTGTGAATAATCTCAGAAATTTCAAATTTAGCCCTGGTTAGTTTGTACTGTTATGATGGGGAAGGATGGTGGGAAAGAGGAAGGGTTACAAAATCTCCTCCCTGGAGAGGTAACTGCCTGAGACTTGTGTATATATATAACTTTTCTTTAAACCATCTCACTGTTAGGGGCTTCTTGGGTTTGGGGTATTTTTATTTCTTTGCAAAGAAAGAGTTGGATCTTGGATTAAGGTTTCATAAATTGTGTTTTCTTGTTTTGTTTATGATTATTATAGCATTTCAATTGCGTGTGCAACATCCAAAGTGTCTGAAAAGGGACAGGGAATAGGATGTACTTTAATATAGCAAATGCATCATCTTCTGTACATCACTGGATGCTGTTGGCTGGAGTCAGGGGGAAAGAAATTGAAGAATTAAAAGAAATAATATTAGACATCATTGACTGGCAATTATCTGGCATATTTTCTGCTATACTGGTTTTCGTAACACTCTTGATGGATACCTTTTCCTTCTTGGTAACAGCAGCTGTGTGAAAAGTACCAGGGGCTTTAAAAAGAAAAAAAAAATAGAAAGAAAAAAACAACATGCATAATTTCCCTGCAAATTATTACAAAGAAAAATGGTAAACATCAAAAAGCAGAACTTGCTCTGCATTTTCTCTCTGTTAATAGGAAGCGTTTTTCTCATTGATCTGGGGGTTGCTAGTGGTTCTGTATCTCTGTCGCTTAGAAGACTGCTATGTTAATTGTCAGTTGTTTCTGTGTGCTATTGCAGAGCTCTTGGTCTTAAATTTGGGCTGGTGATTGAGGATTTATTATCTCAGAAGAAGGAAGGGGTCTGCTGGCCCTCCACCCCCCTCACGCCTCGATGTTTTCACTCCAACACGTAAACTTCTCTGCCAGCGGAAGGAAATCCGCAAGCTCATTCTCTTCTCACCACCCTACCTGCAAAGAAACTTTTAATTCAAAGCACTGGGAAGGGAATTCAAGAGCCCTGTTTCTAGCCCCCTTCCCTTTTATATTTTAAGGACACCTTGGGAGCATTTCTCCCCCAGCCAGCACTGCCCCATCCCTCCGGTCTGGGCGGGAGGCAGCTCCCCGCTGCCCGCAAGGGCTTCTGCCACCGCACTGAGTGCATTTATCTCTCTCCGTTAAATAACATAATAGTTTCATGGCTTTGGCATTGAACGTGGGCTTCCTCAGAACCGCAGCAGTGCATGCCTGTTGGTGAAGGTCTAGTGCCACGATCCCCTCCCCAGGGGAGCCAGGAGGCAGGCACGGATAGGATCTGGGCATCGCGCTGGATTCTCTGCCCGCTGGCAGGACCCTTGCACCGTGCTGGCTGGGAGAGGGTGCAGCACCTGTCCGGGAAAGCCTTGCCCCTAGCTGTAGCAGGAAAGTGGGGAAAAGCAGTTTTTCCTCAGATCTTACTGGAAAGCGTGTGTCTGAGCACTGGCCACCTCGATGCACCAGCAGATGCACACGTGCCTTGCCAGGAGATCTGGTGGTGATTATGTCAGAGGAGAATCAGGGGGACAAGGGGGGAGCTTTGATCTGCCACATCTAAGGGGTTTGCCTTGTGAAGCCTGGATCAATCTGACAGTGCCTATCATAAAGGGGGAGTTATGCCAAACCTGTCTCATGTTTTCTCTCACAAAATCTGCCCTTGTTGCTGCCTCAGGAGCATTTTCAGGCAGCAGACCTGGCTGGAGCAGGGCGAGTGCAGCCACAGCCATCGAGGGAGTGAGGGGAAGCGTTGCGGGAGGGGGATGCTGATTCCCCAGGAACTCACTGCTTGCTGTGGGTGTTTCTGGGTAGGCACAGGGGCCTCGGTTGGGATATTCGGAGACCAGCTGGGCTGCTTGGGGTCTATCAGAGTGCACTTGTGATGTTGTGTCCCCACCAAGAGCAGCACCTTCCCTGCTGGTCCAGCCCTAGGCATCCTTGAAGCACCAGTAATGCACCTCTGCCCCAGGCTGCAGCCCTGGCTTCTCCTCTACTCCTGGGCTTGCTTGATTGATTGCTTCCTTCCTTCCTTCCTTTCTTCTAACCCACTTCACACCTGGCTGCGTTACTGCTGCCTGATCTGGTTTTGGAGAATCCATGTGTTCATGCGATGTCATCCCAACCTACAGCACTACTTAGAGTTACAGCCCTTCCCTGTCCCAGCCACAGCAAGGTACACCAAGAGGGTATCCCAGAACAGGGTGGCTTAGGCTGACCCTCAGCCACCTTTGATTTTGGGAAAAGCCTGCAATTCTGGCCCCTGCTGCAAAGAAGCCATACGCTTGGTCAGCTTTTTTTCCTGGGGAAAAAAAATATGTTGAAACCAATTTTTATTCTTTTTTCTCACCGAGAACAAGTATCTACAGCTGGAAACTCATGAAATGCACACACAGTGTTAGGAAGCTTTAAAAGAGCTGGCCACTGATTTAAAATAAATTTGATCCTTTATTAAATCAAAGTCCTAATCCTGCAAATTCAAGCAAACAGGTGAACAGATGCACTTGCACAGAGTCTTCCTAAAACTGCTGGGTACATGGGTGGGCTGAGAAATCAAGTGGCACAGGTGGATCTGCAAGACCAGGTAGTACCATTTCTTAGCTGTATTTTTTTAAATCTGTAATATGGGACGATGTAGGGCTGATTTTAAGAGTGTTAAAGATCTACAAAACCCCAGCCTGTTATTTGGAAGTAAAGGTTTCTTCCCAGTTGTGCAGAGGTGCGTAGTTGTTTATAATGACCTAATATAATCAGCTTATTTAGTTGATTCATCTGTGTCTGAAATGCATACCTTAAAGCTCTTAGAAATCACGTAGTGGCTTGAAAAATGTCTTATACTGATACAAAATTTATTTAAGCCCTCTAATCATAACTCTGCCTGCATAAATCAACCCACTAACTTGGTAATAAACTCCTCGCTTTCCCGGTACTCGTCAGGCCACCGTGTTTGAAGCACTGCGGTGTGCCCTGAAGAGCAATCAGCCCAGTGTATCAGGGACTAATTGCAATGAGGAGATCTCAGAAAACGCCTTGTTGCTTGCCTTGGACCGAAGGTGTATGCTGCTGTGGTGGCACAGCAGGGAGGTGGTCTCTTGGCTAAGCCAGGCTCAATCATGGGGGGCTTTGCAGGTCGATACCAGTCCTTGCAGCCTGTGGGTGAGTGGACATGCTGCGGGTTCTTGGTGTGAAATGCTGCTTGTTGGTGTTTTCTGCAGTAGCTTGTGTTTCCTAGCACCCGCAGAGTGCAGTACAGCAGCCCCATCTCCGTGTCACCAAGGCAGGATCAGAAAGGTGCCTCCGAAAGGAAAGGTTGTTCCCTTCTTATCTAGTGTGAGTGTATATTAAAAAGGAAAAAAAAAAAGGGGCAGTTAGTCTCTGCTTCTGACATAGCTGTCGTCTGCAGTACAGGCACCACATCCTGCTCCATCCTCTATGTAAAGCTTGGTGGGGGCGTCCTGGGGAAGGCCAGCAAGGGGCATTTGCATGCGAAACCACTAGAGATTGGGATTATCGCTGCGTGTTTGAACAGGATGGAGAGGAGCTGCTGACCTGCGCTGTCGGTAGCTGGTGAAGTGGCCAGTACTGGGGATTTTGTGGCTGTGATGTGGATGCTGCAAATATTTCTGTGTTGTGATTATTAGACAGAGGGAAGGTTTATATTTCCTTTCTCTGAAGTGTCAGAGTTTGGCCATGGCTAGAAAAACAGCACTGTCTAGAGAGCACAGGTGGGGTTAGTGGTATTAAACATTTCTCAGGTGTTGGGTTAGTGTGTCGTGCTGACAAGCTCGATTAAGTTGCTTGGCAGGACAGAGGTTAGGAATGGATTTTCCTACAGGTCAGACTGCCAGGGATGGATGGGATCCTGTTTCTGCTGCTGCAGTATGTGTGTGCCTGCAGTGTGCCCAGCATCATCTCGCATCTCCTCCCGGAGCGAGGACTTTTGGCAGTGGTGATGCCCTCAATTGCTCGTCTGCCATGAACATTTTTTATTATTATTATTTTGTCTTTCGAGTTACTCTAAGTTTTCCAGTGGAGTTGGTGGGAGATGGGGAGAGGGTATCTGTTTATGGACTCTTCTGGACTGAGTTTTCTTGCAAGATTGTCTGCTATGGGGAGGGATTGGGCTTGGACTACAGGGGTCTGTTTCAGGTCTGTGGTCAAATATGCTTTCATAGGTGTCTTTGCTCCTTGTCAGTGATTTCTATTCAAGCAACCACACAAGCTTTGATTTGTTGGTTTTGTTTTGTTTTGTTTTTCTGGTGACAGCAGGGAGAGAAGGGACTTTTCAGGCTTATATAAATGAGTAGCACTGACAGGGATGCAGGGAGCCATCACAAGGTCCTGGTCTATCTACTGGCCTGAGATTGAACAGCCTGTGTGCCTTTGCAGAAGAGCCGCTTCTGTTGTCTCCTCTCTGCTTCGAGAGGATTCCCATCTTCGTGGCTACATTTCTTTCCCATATCCCCTCTCCTTTCTAGAGGCAGAGCCTGGGGCATCATCACACTCCACATAGCTTCAGCTCCCTTCCTGTTTTTGTTTTTGCCAGTTAG